GAAGTGAACTCGTTACTTGTATCAAAGATGTCAAACTAATATGATAAGATTGATAACTAAGTTGAGCACGAAGCTCCTATCTAATGGCAGACGTGCCAGTCTTATATAGAACCTTCGTTCTGTCTTGATCACTCTCATCGACTGTCGATGTTGGCGATCATCGCTTTCATCGACAACGATAATGTCGATGAAGCTTATCACGTGATTTCTTCCTGTGAAATCCTTGGATCGTCTAGCTAGTCTATTCGATCCCTATTTGCTATAAGAGCTTGTGATGTGCTTGACCTGTCAGGACGCCGCCTGGTCTTCACTCATCCCGTGACAACACGTGATTCGTGACATATACTTCGAGTAATTATACTATAAAGGTAATAGTCTAGATATAATATAGTTAAGTCTATATTAATTATTTTTTATTTATACTCTTTAATCTTAGTCTAGTATAAATTAACTCTAGCTTATTTATTATACTTAAATATAGTAGTCTTTACTATAAGTTATATATTTTAGTAGTCCACTTATCTATCTTATTATATTTTACTTTTAACCCTCTCTATAATTTCTATACTATATTATACTTATTATAGAGATTCTAATCTTCCTTAGATAGAGTATTAAGTATAAAATTAATTACTTTTACCTTATTTTATAAATAGGCCTTCTTATTATTAATATTCTATAATCTATATCCCTATCCTTATATAGTATTATTTAGATTATTAATAAAGGTCATCACCTAGCAAGGCACTTAATCGATAGCGGAAGGAGATGGTACGTTTGTCTACAAACCTATTGTGAGGGTACAGACGTGGAGGAAGCGATGTGGCCCGTGCCCTTGGAACTGTAAATAGCCTCAGATCTTACGATCACTTCCACTCTTTGTAGACAATTCAGTTCTTACGCATACAGTTGACCTTGTCGCTATCGTACCCTTACATATTGTCTACCTCATCAATTCGTCAACCCTGCGATTGACATAGTCGTCGCAACCTTGAATACCTACGAACTTCAACTCCGATTTCGACTTTGTCTTTGACTTCGATCTCGACTTCCACCTCGACTTTATCTTTGACCTCGATCTTGACACCTCAACCTTATTAATTCACTAATCTTGCGATCGACATCGTCGTCGTAGCCTTGAATACTTACAAACTTCGACTCTGACTTCGATCTCGACTTTGACTCCGACTTTGACTCCCACTCTGACTTCGATCTTGACTTCCACTTCCACTTCGACTTGAACCTCAACTTCGACTTCTCTACCTCATTAATTCATTATTCCTACGATCGACATCGTCGTTATAGCCTTGAATACTCACGAACTCCGACTCTTCGATTCCGACTTCGACTTTGTTTCTCACTTTCACTTTATGTGTACCACACAGCACTACAAACCCGACCACGACTGACTACGAGCTCGACCCTCAAATAGCACCTATAAGCTATGGAGTACCTCAATAACTTCATAGCCTCGGCCTCACCTACGTTTGAAGGATGGCAGCAGAATCCAGGCCAGGACGCGTCTGCGCACGCGCCTACAACAACCTCCACTCCCTCTGCGAGCAACAGATTTGTCGGCTTTGATGGTGGCGACTACACTGGCTGCGAGTTCCCCCTTTTAGAGCGGCTGCTCAATGGCGACGATATTATTATGTTAGGACAAGTCTTTGGCATGAATCTAGCCAGTGAAATATTCCATGGTTTAAGTAACGCTAGAACGAAGATCAAGGCTCTTGAGGCCGACAATCTGCGGATGGAGGATGAAGCAGTTCAAGGAAACAAGGTTATCGAGGAGTTGCGCCAGCAACTCACTCTCGCTGCTAGAGCTCCGCCAGTGCCTCCGAGTTCAGCTTTCGCTACATCAGCCTTTCGCTCTCAGCTTTCAAAGGAACACCCTGATCCACGACCTTTTGGTAGCCCTGCCTATCGAAGCCCCGACGATTTGGAGGAATTTCTCACTAAACTCAATATGAAGCTTATGCAGAACGAAGACTGGTGGACAACTGAGGTCGCTCGTATGAGATATGTTTACAGCATGTTAGAAGCTAAGGCGGCTACAACTTTTCAAGCATACCTCGGTCGATCCGGTAATTTTGAAGGGATTAGCACAGTCGACGAGATGCAGGACATCCTTGTTAGGGGCTTTGGTGACAAGCATCGAGCCTCTAAAGCATTTTCCAAGATCATAGCACTCAAACAAGGTACAACCGACACTACAACCTTTCTCGCTACATTCCTGAACCTCACAGCTATTGCGAAGATCGACAAGAGCGTGGCCAAGGAGTTCCTTCTCCGCTCTACGAACCCTCTGCTTATCGACAAGCTCTATAACTCGCCACAATATACTGCAAAGAAAACCGCCATAACACTTACTGAAGTGGTGGATTTGCTCCGAGACATCGAACATTCTGCTCAATCGCTTTATGGGATCAATTATCTGAGGAAGGAACACGTTACTAGAGGGGGAGGAGGAGGAGGAGTAACCCCGCAGACAGGTCTTACACCCACCCACGGAGACCCTATGGACCTTGACGCTGCTCGATTACATAATAGCAACCTTGCTTGGACTAAGCACGACATCGACAACAAGAGGAGGGCAGTTACGAAGGAGGAGAAGGATGCTCGCCGCTCTTATCAAATTCAGCACAACCTATGCTTCTATTGCGACGCTGTTGCTCATGGCGTTGAGGAATGTCCTAAGGCTGCGGTGGCGAGAGCCCGCAAGGAAGCTCGGGATGCTGGCCAGGGAAAAGCCTGATCCTTGATAATCGACGCTGTCAAGGATTGTTAGAAAAGGGGTGTGTTTTAGAAGTATCATCGCTCAGCTCTATGGATAGAGTGTTTGAGATCTCATGTCAAATAACCGATCGAAATACAACTTCTTCCATAGCTACTCGGGCGTTGTTGACACCGGAGCTACTGGCGAGTGCTTCATGGACCTCTCCTTTGCGCAACAAAACAACTTTAACCTGATCAAATTAACCCAGCCTCGCGAACTACGGACTGTAGATGGCTCCTTGTCTAAATCAGGGACTATTACTCATTATGTCGAACTTGAACTCGCTATCGACAAGCATATTAACCCACCAACAAGGGTTTTTTGTTACTAAACTAGCCTCTCATAGTGTTATTATTGGCTACCCATGGATGTATAAGCACGACCCTGTGGTCCGCTATCAGGAAGGACTGTTGTCTTTCAACACCGAACACTGTCGCAAGCACTGTCTACCTTCTGGCTGCTATCAATTACCAGTTCGCTGTACAGACCTACCAAAACCTAAGTCGGCTAAACAACAGTTCGACATTGCCGCGAACACAGCCTCACTCCCTCGCCGCGTAGGTCCTATACAGTTTATGTCTATTTCAAAGAGGATAGGTACTGAAGTCTTCGCGCTCTCCTGTCATGAGATAGATGTAAGACTTCGGGAGCTTGGGGTTAGCGAGGAAGAGCTGGAACCGGTTCAGAAACATGATCGCCAACCACGCTACTCCTCTAAAAGTCGGGACGGACTATCCCAGATGAAAAAAGAGCTAGCTATGGAACAGTCACCTATTCACCTGATAGAGCACTCTCAAGCCTCACTTTCTCCAGCCTCACTTGAACTTCAACAAAGACAACGGCAGGCTGCGGATATGCATATCGCTGGAGCCTCACTTGAAGAAATTCGCAAAGCACTAGCCCCGAAGACTATTATCGACCCTGCCTCGAAATTACCCCCTCAATACCATGAACACCTGGGAACCTTTGACAAAAAAAGGGCTGATAAACTCCCACCTCACCGAGATTGTGATCATTCTATCGAACTTTTGCCTGGTACAACGCCTCCGTATGGCCCCTTGTATAACATGTCTCAGGAGGAGTTATTGGTCTTACGAGAGTACTTGAGAGAACAACTTGACAAGGGCTTCATTAGAGCTAGTACGTCACCGGCAGCAGCACCAGTTTTATTCGCTAAGAAGCCGGGCGGCGGGTTACGGTTTTGCGTTGACTACAGAGGCCTCAATGCTATAACTATCAAGAATCGGTATCCCTTGCCTCTAGTCCAAGAGACTTTACAGCGAATCTCGAGAGCTAAGTATTTCACAAAGCTCGATGTTATACATGCCTTCAATCGTATACGCATCAAAGAAGGAGACGAGTGGATAACAGCATTCAACACGAGATATGGGCTCTTTGAGCAGATGGTTATGCCATTTGGCTTGACTAATGCGCCAGCAACCTTCCAGGCAAGGATGAACGAGGTCTTACGACCCTGGTTAGATGTCTTTTGTACAGCGTACATCGACGACGTGTTAATCTATTCCGATGATTTGCTTTCCCATAGAGCACATGTCCACCAGGTACTTAAAGCACTAGGTGAAGCCGGCTTACATTTAGACATTAAGAAATGCGAATTCGAGGTTCAAGAAGTTAAGTACCTTGGCATGGTTATATCTACAGAAGGTGTGATGATGGACCCAGAAAAGATTAGCGCTATCACGGAATAGGAGGAGCCAAGGTGTCTCAAGGATGTCCAAGGCTTCTTAGGCTTTGCCAATTTCTATCGCAGGTTTATTAAGAACTTCTCTCGAATAGCAAAGCCTCTCACAATGTTGTCAAGGAAGGGAGAGAAGTTTTTCTGGTCTTTGGAATGCAATAATGCTTTTCGTATTCTAAAGGAAGCTTTTGTTCAAGCACCTACACTTCGCCACTTCGATCCCGAGCGAGAGGTTATACTAGAATGCGACTCTTCGGATTACGTTAGTGCAGCAGTTTTGTCTCAATATGATGACTGTAGAGTCTTACACCCTGTTGCCTTTATGTCTAAGAAATTCGATCCAGCGGAATGCAATTATGAAATATACGACAAGGAGCTATTAGCAATAGTTCGCTCTTTTGAGAGCTGGAGGTCTGAACTCCAAGGCGTTGCTTACCCAATCACGGTTTTAACAGATCACTCCAACCTACAGTACTTTATGACAACAAAGCAATTAACCCGACGACAAGTACGATGGAGAGAGTTTCTTTCTCAGTTCGATTACGTGATTCGCCCTGTGGCAGGAAGAAAGAATACAAAGCCTGACAGCCTTACTCGACGCTCTCAGGACCTCCCACAGCGTAAAAACGACCCACGAACTCAATATCAGCACCAGACTCTACTAAAGCCACAGAATATTGACCCTTAGATCACGAAGCATACTCACCCCAGTCCTGTCGAAGATGTCACGATCCAACAAGTATTCTTAGCACCCGCTGAGTTACAGGAAGCCGATGATGCTAGAGTAGCACGCCTTCTAGAGGAGGGTTATAGGGAGGAAGAGGGTACACCGGTGGATCCTCTTTGGCGAGAGATCAAGGCTGAGATGAATAAGGTGGAGGGTATTCCGCATATGAAGGAGGTCTCGCTTGCTGAATGCGAGATTAAGGAGGGCTACCTATGGTTTCGTGACCGTATGTACGTCCCTGATACAGAACTCCGTACGTGGCTACTACAGAGAGCTCATGATTCATTCGAGAGTGGTCACCCTGGCAAGAATAAGCTGTTTGAGCTAGTATCTCGCTATTATTGGTGGAAGAACCTCTCCAAGGACACAGCTCAGTTTGTTGCAGCATGTCAGAACTGCGCTCGGAACAAATACTCCCAGCATCGCTACTCAGGACTCTTAAAGCCACTTCCGCTGCCTCTTCAACGCTGGCGCGACATATCTGTGGACTTTATTGGACCAATTATGCCAGTAGATGGGTTTAATCAGATCATGGTAGTAGTGGACAGGCTGTCTAAGGACAAACATATTATTCCTT